AATGGAACAGTACCTAGGGTTTCTAGGTTTACTGTTCCATTGAATGCTGGTGGATCTGTGGCATGATGGTGAACCAGGTCATCCTGTTCTTCCTTCCTCGCCCTTCCTGGAGCATATTGCGCACAAGGTTACTGAAGATCGAGCTGCTTCTCTTACTGACTTGGAGGTGAACTCGCGCAATGTAAATCGTGCTGCTGCTTCCCATGTTCTGGAGCAGAATGTGACTCGAGATTCAGCTTTTACTGGGAAATTGGCTGGAAAAGGAGCTACATTATCCTTTGTTGCTCCGAAAGTGCAAGATGGAAAGTTAATTGCTGAGCTACAACCTGCCGAGCTTGAGGAAGGTAATCGAAAATGGGCTAATGCTCTTGTTTTTTATGTGGTTGGTTTTAATCCTACTATTGCTGTTTTTTCTTCGTTTCTTTGCTCAACAATGGAATGATATGCAAAAACCAGATGTGTATTGGCATGATGATGAGTACTTTATTATCAATATGTGTTCTAGTGATGATAGAGATACTATACTTTGTTCTGATCCTCATTTGTTCTTTGGAAAGCCTGTAATAGTGAAGCCTTGGTGCCCCGATTTTGATTTTCATGCTGAAATTCTTAGAACTATTCCTCTTTGGGTTAAATTCCCTAATCTCCCACTTAATTGTTGGGGATCTCACACTCTTAGCCGCCTTGGTAGTTTGCTTGGAGTACCAATTTGTGCTGATGAGTGTACTACTTGACAGCTTAGAGTGTCTTTTGCTAGGGTTCTGATTGAGATTGATGTTACAAAGCCTATGCCAACCTCTGTGTGGATTGAGAGTCCTTCGAAGGAATTATGGGAGATCAGGGTGGTGTATGAGTGGGCTCCTTCTTTTTGCTCTAAGTGTAACAAGATTGGTCATTATTTCTCTGTTAAGCCTTCTTTGCCTAAGCAGGCTAATAAGCAACCGGCTCCTGTTCCTCCTAAGCAAAAGCAAGTTTGGGCTCCTAAGCCTACCCATGTTCCTACTTCTTCTGCTGCTGTTGATGTTGGGGTTTCTGTTCATGGTCAATCTATTATTACTCCACAGGTTCATACCTCTAAGAATTCAGATGAGGGTTGGAAAATAGTAGGGAGGAAAACAAAAAGCCAGCAAACTAGAGTTCATCAGCCTGCTTCTACTTCTAATGCCTTTGTTGCTTTGTTTGCAAATGAAATGGATGGTGCAGGTGGTTTCATAATCAATCCAAGCGGGGGTGAGGTTAATCCCCCTTTGGTGTCATGATTTACTCTATTTGGAAGTCAGGGGCCTGAATGATCCTGGCAAAGTTGCCTCTGTAAGGAGGTTGCTTCACTCTCATTCAGTTGATGTTGTTGGATTGCTTGAAACAAAAATCAAATTGAAAAATGTTCTCACTTATCCGAGGAAGTTTGGTTCTTCTTGGCTTTGGTTGTGTAATTATGATCATTCTCCCAAAGGGAGGATTTGGCTTGGTTGGAATGTGGATAGAGTAACGGTTAATGTCTTGAAGATTCATGAACAGTTCATTCATTGTACTGTTTCTTCTACGGATCTCTCTACTCAAATTTTTCTCACTATTGTCTATGGTCTTCACTCCATTCATGATAGGCTTTCTTTGTGGGAAGGGCTTAGAAGCATCTCTATCCAACATTCTCCTTGGCTTTGTGTTGGTGATTATAACTCTATTCTTCATGCTTCTGATAGGCTTCATGGTTCTGATGTTACTGATTATGAAACTAGGGACTTTCAGAATTTGGTTGATGATTTGGACCTCACTTAGCTCAAAAGCAAAGGGTCCTACTATTCTTGGTCAATAAGGCTCATACTGGCCCTAGAACGCTCTCTAGACTTGATAGAGCCTTTGGTAATCAAGCTTGGTTAGCTTCTCATGGGCATGTCGAGACAGTTTATCTCCCTCCTTCTTTATCTGATCATAGTCCTGTTTTGTTGGATATTTGCTCTGGCCCTATTGGGAAAGGTAGACCTTTCCGTTTTCTAAACTGTATTGCGGATCATCCTGATTTTCTTGATACTGTTTTGCAGGCTTGGGGCTCTGGTAGGTCTGTTTGGCAGAAGCTCAATTCTGTAAAGTCTAGTATCAAATCTCTTACTAGCAAGCAGTTTGGTAACATTGAGGAAAAGATTGACCAAGCTAATGATGAGCTCTCTAGAATTCAAACCTTAATGGCTCAAAACCCTAATGATTTGGATTTATATGCTAAAGAATCTGATGCTATTAAGGTTGTCAAGCACTGGAATGATATTCAGGAAAGAATCTTCAAGCAAAAATCTAGGATTAATTGGGTTAAGCTTGGAGATGGCAATTCCCACTACTTCTTTTCTGTGATGAAGACTAGGCACGCAAGGAATAGAATTGACTCCATTTTTTATTCTAATCAGGTGTTGCTCAAGGATCCAGATGCTATCTCTCATGAAATTATCTCTTTCTATAAGTCTCTGTTAGGGACTCAGGCTCCTTGGCTCCCTGCTGTTGACCTTGTTACTATGCGGAGGGGTAAGCAGCTTAGCTCTGCTGCTCAGAGCTACCTCATTAGGCCTATCTCTCATGCTGAAATTGGTGCTGGTCTTAAGGGAATTGATAACACTAAAGCTCCTGGTATTGATGGCTTTAACTCCTTTTTCTTTAAGAGAGCTTGGTATATTGTGAAAGATGATATTTATGCAAGTGTTATTGATTTCTTTAATAATGGGATTTTCCTAGGCAATGGAATTGTACAACTATTACTTTGGTCCCTAAAGTCCTTTCTGCTTCTCAGGTTAAGGATTTTAGACCTATAGCCTGTTGTACTATGGTCTATAAGCTCATTTCTAAAATCATAACTGCTAGGCTTGCTGCTGTCATTGGTGAGGTGATTGATGATGCTCAGGCAGGGTTCATTCCTGGTAAGCACATTGGTGACAATATTCTTCTTGCAACTGAATTGATAAAAGGCTATGATCACAAATTTATCTCTCCCAGGTGTATGGTTAAGGTGGATTTGAGGAAAACCTATAATTCGGTTGAGTGGGGTTTCTTGATCACTGTCATGCAAGAGCTTGGTTTCCCTCAGAGATTTGTTGATTGGATCTGGAATTGTCTTACTTCTGTCTCTTATTCTATTCTTATTAATAGTTTTCCTGCCCCCCCCCCCCTTGAAGCTAAGAAAGGGTTAAGGCAAGGTTATCCTATGTCTCCCTTTCTCTTTGCTATTGGTATGGAATACCTCTCCAGATGCCTTGATGAGCTTAGGTTGTATCCTGACTTTAACTTTCACCCTAGATGTGAAAAGTTAAACCTAACTCACATGATGTTTGCTGATGACTTATTGATGTTTTCTCGAGCTGATAGTGTTTCTGTTAAGCTTCTCTTCCAAGCCTTCTCGAAATTCTCTGGTTCCTCTGGGCTTTCTGCTAATCTTGACAAAAGTGAAGTCTACTTTGGAGGAGTCTCTGTTGATGTTCAGAATGAGTTGAGGGAGCTTCTTGGTGTTTCTCAAGGCTCCTTTCCTTTTAGGTATCTTGGGGTCCCTCTCTCTTCAAAGAAGGTTACTATTGCTCAATGTAGGCCTTTGGTGGAGAGAGTCACTGCTAGAATTCAAGGATGGATGGCTAAACACTTGTCCTATGCTGGGAGGCTTCAATTGGTGAAGAGTGTGTTGTTTGGTATCCAGACTTATTGGGCTCAAATTTTTATTCTTCCGAAGAAAATTCTGAAAGAGATTGAGGTGAGGTTCAAATGCTTTCTTTGGACTGGATCCTCTTCTCATGCTAAGAAGTCTTTGGTTGCTTGGAATAATGTTTGTCTTCCTAAAGTTTGCGGTGGCTGAAACCTGCTTTCTCTTCCTGAGTGGAATAAAGCAGCTGTCACTAAGTTAATTTGGGATATTGCTCACAAGGCTGATAATCTTTGGGTTAAGTGGGTTCATATCTACTATTTCAAGCATAAAGATTGTTGGACCACTCCTACCCCTGCTAGATGCTCCTGGTTTTTGAAGAAGATTTTGAGTTGTAGAGATATTGTGAATGATCAAGGGGGATGGGATGGTTTCGTTCAGGGAAACAAGTTGAAAATCAAGAAGCTTTATGCTGCTATTAGGCCTCAAGTGCCTAAAGTTCCTTGGAAGAGAGTTACTTGCCATAACTTAGCAACTCCCAAGAGTGTTTTCATCTTGTGGCTAGCTTTATGGAATAGGCTTGTCACTAAGGATAGGTTGCTTCAATGGCACATCTCTTGTGATCCAAAGTGTTTCCTTTGTTTGAATGGCAATGAAAGTGTTCAGAATCTATTTTTTGATTGTGATTTCTCTAGGAAGGTTTGGAGTAAGGTTTTGGGGATCTTGCGTGTTTCCAAGCCTGTTCAGCAGTTTAGTGATGAGATAGATTGGATGAAGAAAATCTGCAGAAGTTCCAGATTAAAGAATAAAGTGATCCAGGTGGCCTTCACTGAAACAGTTTATGGTATTTGGATTTAAAGGAATGCAGTTCTCTTTACTGGTTGCTGCAAATCAGTTGATGCTCTTGTTCGGGATATTGTCTTTCATTCAGTTTGTAGAATCCCGGCGGGAAGCAAATATTTGACTGTCTAGGGCTTGTCTCGGGCTCCTTGTGCGTGTGTTCTGCATTCTTTCTTTTTTAGTTGAGTGTGCTGCTACTGTCTGGTGGTGCTGTTGCATTGTTGTTCTGTTTTTTATGCTGCTGCTCTGGTATGCTCAGTACTCTGCTACCTGCTTTGGTGTTGTTGTTGTTGCTGCAGTGTGCTGCTGTAGGCTGTGGGTGGTGTTTGTTGCTGCTGCTTTTCTTCTCTGTTGTTCTGTTGTGCTTTGCTGCCTGCTGTCTGCTTTGCTGTTGGGTGTTCTGCTGTGCTGTGCTGAGTGCTGTTGTTTGCTGCACTACTGGTGTGGTGCTGCTGGTAGTTTGTGTTCAGCTATGCTTTGCTGAGCTGCTGGGTTGCTGCAGTGTGTTGCTGTTATGTTGTTTGCTGATGCTGCTTTGCTTTCTGCTGCAGCTGGTTTGCTTCTGCTTTTGGTGTTGCTGTGCCCTGTTTTCTTGCTGCTGCACTTCTGATTTTGTTCATGCACTGCTGTTTTGGTGCGGTTTTTGTTGCTGCAGTATGTTGTTATTGTTGCTTTGGTGCTCGTTTTGTTGTTTATCTTTGTTCTTTTGGTTTCTTTAGTCGGTTTGCAGGCTTGTCTGCTTCTGGCTGTAGTTTTTGGTGACTTTTGGGTGTTTGGCTTTATTGTTTTCTGGTTTTTGTTGTCTGATCCTAGTTTACGGAACCCTTCCTAGAAGGTGGCCGAGAATTTGAGTCCAGTTGTTCTAGGCCCTTCCTAGAACCCTTCCTAGAAGGTGGCTAGGTTTGGGTCTAGAACTGGTCGTGGGGTGACCTGTTATTTTCAGGTCTTTTGGTGTTCTGGTGGTAGTTATAACTTAGCTTTTGTAAGTTGTAACTTTCTCTTTTTGGTAATAAAATCTTATTTTCCAAAAAAAAAAGTTGTTAAAGAAGATAATCTTTCAAAGATTCGGAGTACCAAAGGCAGTGATCACGATAAGTAACAACTATTCTCATTTTATTCACCATGCCTTTCAAAAGATGTTGAGTAAGCATGGATTCCATCAACGATTTTGCCTCCCATATCATCCCAATCGAGTGGCCAACTGGAAGTCTCTAATCGTCAAATCAAGTTAATCCTTGAAAAGACGGTTGCGAGAAATCGAAAGGATTGGTCGGAAAAGTTGGATGATGCTCTTTGGGCCTATAGAACGACTTTCAAGACCCCCATAAGTACCACTCAATACAGCCTAGTCTATGGCAAGTCATGCCATCTCACGGTTGAAATTGAACACCGTGCTTTGAGGGCAATCAAGAAGATAAATTTTGACTTGGGAAGTGCGGGGGAGAAAAGATGGTTAGATCTTAATGAGCTAGAGGAGCTTCAGCTTGATGCTTTTTATTGTTCTAGTGGGTAAAAAGCTCGTTCCAAGGAAACACATGACAAGCTTATTGAGAAGAAAGAGTTTTGTGTTTGCGATAAAGTTCTTCTCTACAATTCAAAAATGAAGTTGTTTCCCGGAAAGCTCATGTCAAGATGGAGCGGTCCCTATTTTGTTAAGAATGTTTTTCCAAGTGGTGTTGTAGAGGTCTCAATGATGAATTCATCTTCTCCAGTAAAGGTCAATGGCAATTGTCTCAAGAAGTATTTCGACGGTGCTTTTTGTTGGCCTTGTTCACTCATTGCTTCTCCGACAACCACCTTAATTAGTGGAGGACGTCGAGCTATGACGTTAAATAAGCACTACCCGGGAGGCAACCCGGTTTTTTAACCTTTTTCTTTTGATTTTACAATTTTCTTTATTTCTTTTATCCTTGAGAATTTTTCTTATTTCTCTTTATCTTTATCTGTTCTCTTGATTTTGGGTACCATGAGATTGGATCGATGAAAATTTCCAACAATTTTGGTGTTACTTCAAGGTTTCATGGGGTTTGGTTAAACTAAGGTGAAGGTGTTCGTTGGGGTTATATGTTTTTGTGTTTGCATTATCATTGATTTTTATATTCATGTTTGAGTAAGTTTTGGATTATTTTTTGTGAAATTTTGAGTACTTGATCATGACACTCGATAGCGCCGGTGAGAATGCAAACACAAAAGCGCATTTAAGGGTATTTTTCTCTTCCTTAACCTTCAACTGTTGCACGCGCACCCATCACTTGAGCGCACACACCACGAGGGTTAGAGATTTTGTCCACCTATTGCTAAAATTTTGCTGGAATTTGAATAAAGTTCTATCACCCTATGGTGCGCGCGCACCCCCTACCTGAGCACGCGCACCACAGGGGTCATACAATTTTTAGCATTTTTGTCGAGAAATTCAACCCTCCCCGAGTTGAATGTGGTGCGCGCGTACCCCCTACCTGCGCGTGCGCACCACAGGGGTCAGGGATATTGGCGAAAATCGCCCCTGGCTCGCTTCAGCTGGTGCGCACGGACCAAGCCCCTGCACGCACGTACTAGCCGCAGCAGCCAGGTGCGTTCTCGACCCTCCCTTTTTACCCCAAAACCCACTCTTATTCACTCCTTTCTCTCTCCCCGATTTTTCCCGTAGGTTTCCCACATAAATTTCTCTTATCAAACCCTACATTTTCTCTTGCAAAATCAAAGTAATTTAACATCTTTATATTCATTTCATCACCAAATTACATTAAACACATCAAAATTTCTAAATTTAACAAATAAAAATTCACATTTTCGACCATAATTTTGAAAATTTCGGGGTTGTTTCAAAAATTTGAAGGTTGGTGTTGAGGTTTGGAACTTGTCTTTGGGTGTTCTATTTGTTCTTTAATCTTCATTTTGGGAAATTTGAAAGTAATTCAAGACTTCATTTAGGTATAATTTATCATTTCCTAGTCATCTTCTTCCTCATTGTTGAAGCTTCAAACCCTTGTTTTTGCTTTCATGGTAGAACTCAATTGTTAGTTCTTTTAACTTTTAATTTGTGTTGAATGATGTTATTGAGTGTTGAATTGAAGCTTTTTCATGATGAATTTTTTTACCTTGATTGAATACTTAAATCACCATTTATGGTCATTTTCTTTCTCATGGGTATTCTTTATGATGGCTTTATTTCTTTGAAAATTCAATGTTTGAGATTATTTTGCTCAATTTGATTCATGATTTGGTCTCTTGTGTTAACTTTTTCCTTTAATGAGCAACGTTGGTTGAGAAGTATCTCTGAGGAAGGGAAGTATGAGCCTCAAAATTCCAAGACTGATCCCATGTTTCATCCAGCTATGCGGTATTTCAACCGCATCCTCACTTACGCCCTTTGCTCCAAGGACTCTTTGGGAGCTATCTCCCGAGAGGAGCTTTGTTGCCTTTGGATAACCGACGAAGACAACCATTAGTTAGAGATAGTGGATTTCACGGTGCATTTGATCAATCGGTTTTTAGATATCAGTGATGGAGTTAGCCTATTGGGGAGCATCCAATTGGGAGGGATGATTTCTTTCCTAGCTCTCTGCATCAATGACGCCCATAAGACTTTGTTATGTGAGCTTCCCCCAATTATCGATCCTTGAGAAAAATCTTCTTCTCATTTCCTCAACATCTTCGCCCTTATGAACCAAAAGTTCCTTTATTGAACTAGAAAGGATGATGTTTTCATTTGGAATGTTTCCCGGGTTAAAGAATGGTTCCTAATCCAATGCAAAGAGGCAACTACCTGACTAAAAGAGAAAGATTACTTGTCTTGGAGGCCTCCGTTGCGCAATATTAATCCTTATATTCGACGAAGGATGAATTTAAGAGCCCACCTAACAAATGCCTTCTCGACGAATGTTCAAACTTTTCCCTCGGTTGAACCGGGAGGTACGCCTATTCCTTCCCCCTCTCCTACTCCTTCTAATTTTTATTTGTCAACCATTCATACTAGGCTTGATTCTATTGCTAATGTGTTATGCTCTATGGCTTCGGTGCAAAACCCAAATCTTTGCTATGACTATCATGCAAATCAATTGTACGACTTACATGTTAGGAGGGGGAAGATATCTTCGTGAATTACCCGTATCTCCCGGTAAAAAAAGGACCTATCCCTCAATGGGAGCCTTGCTACCCTTATTGGGAGGGCCCTCATTTTCACCCTAGTTCTATCACAGGCACCAACCCAGCCACTAACGACTATAAGTGGCCCGGTGGTTGTGATTATACATATGATCCTGCTAACCCTTCGCCCTTTTCGGATCCCAAGACTTTTGGTAGGTGGGGTAGGTCGGGTAAGCCAGTCATAGATGATTGGTCTCATTTTTATGCGGTTAATAGAGCTAGGAGTGAAGGCCTGTGAAGGGGTACGACTCCCGTAGAATTGAGCAAGATGGCTAGCTCTAGTCATATGATGGAGACCGGTGAAAGGAGTTCTCATTCTACCCCTTACCATAGTGCAGAGTGATATTATCATGGCTACCTGGCCCCCTTCTGATGTGCTTTATATGATGTTTCTATGTTGCCTAAATGTTATTAGGTTTAGAGTTAGTTGGGTAGTTCATTTTAAGCTTGCGGGTGCTTTATGTCGTTTGTTTCTGTGCTTCACAATTCCCCCCCCCCTAGATGTTGTAGTTCATTCCTGGTCGCATATGCTTCTGGTATTGATCTCTGTGTCTCTTGGTTATATGATGATTATGATGTTGTTCTGCTGATTTCTCTGTCCGCCTATTGGTTTTGTTGTCTATTTCGCCGATCGTTGTTTGCTATGTTTCTGTATGTGTTTAATATGATGATTCCTTATGATGATTGTTTTATATCTTGTCTCCTGATTCTGCTTCAGTCTCATCATTTTGCTTACTATTCTCATTACTTGATCCTATTCGTGATGCTATCATTACTTGCTTTTTCTTTATTTGCATACATTTTATTTTCTTTTTTCTTATTTTATTTTGTATTGAAGTTACTAACAATTTTCTGTGTATATAGTTTTTTTATTTCTCACCTTCCTTTAATGCTTATGCTTTGGATTTCGAACATTCATAAAGGTGCTCTTCCGCCTTGTTTAATGTAGCATAGCTTTGGCGCCCGGTGAGATCTTTCTATTTCTCTTCTATTTATTTTCTTGGTTGCTTAGTCTAGGATTAGTTTTAGGAGGAGTTGAATGGTTCGAGGTTCTTTGCTTTTTAACACCCTAGTGTGTTTTGGAACATCGGCTTTGTGGCCGAATGTTCACTTGTTTGTTGATTGGGAAATATGTGTGTTAGCATTATTTCCTTGTTGCTTTCTACTTCTCCTTTGCTTTTCTATTTTTCACTTCATTTGTTTTTCTTTTTCCTTTAGTTTTCCATTTCCTTCGTGTTTTCCTTTTCTCTCTTTTTTTTATTCTTTGCTTTTTGTCCCTTGCTCTCATATGTTATGATTTTTAGTCCTTTTCTTTCCTTTGATTTATAAAAAACAAAAACAAAACCAAAAACCAAAAAAAAAAAAATTAAATTAAACATAAAAAAAAAAATTTAAAAAAAAAACTTGTTATTGTAAATAGGAATAAAATGTTTTTGAGGCATTGCTTTTCTTTCTTCATAATTTTGTTTTTACTTTTGACTTAATACCACTTGAGCTTGCACATTGGCTATTATTCTTCATAAAAATAATGGTTTGCACGGTTTGAGAGTATCTTTGGTTAACTCTAGGATAGAACATGATAAGGTATTTGTCTAGAACTATTGGGACCTTGAAACCGTATTCTTTAATTTTTTTAAAACTCGCAATTGTTTCCCTTTGGTGGATTTGATGCTTTTAGTGAGTTTTGCCACAACCTTGTGAGGTTTCTTATTTTTTAAGCCTTCTTCAACTACTTATATGAGCAGCATGGATCCTTGACTTTTGCAGACCTAATATTGAAACTTGACTCATAATTCTGAAACACGAGACCGAACCTTCTAGGGAGGATAAAGGCATGTTTTCGGGGTGGTAATTTTTCCTTTCTAGGTCGATTTTCTTAATTTTTAGTTT